CCGCCCTCCCTCCGACTGCCCACGAGCCTGTGGGGCCCGGGGCCTGGATAAGAGCGGGGAAGGCAGGAGAGCCTGGAGGGAAAGGGGAGGAATACACATGGAAAGGGGTCCCAGGCGGAGGGGGACGGGCAGGATCCCAGCGCTAGAAAACCCGACATTGAGCTTCCTGTTCTGCGCCCCTCGGCCTCGGTGAGGCACCCGGTCCCACACGTTCCCAGGGCACCAGCTCGCACAGTGCCGTCCACTTCATCCCAAACAGAGACGCTCCCTTTGAGAGTGTTTACCCGGCAGGTCCTCTTAGCAGAAAGTTAAGACCAACTTCTATGATCTTTTTAATTTGTAAAGAAACTAATCCAGACCTTTCTTCTTTATTGCAAGCAGATTCAGGTCTCCTGCTTAGATAATCTGCAGAAAAGTCCAATCATAATTTGTATTATGAAGATATACTTTATCTACAGAAATAAAAGTTAAAAACAGTAGCATACAAAATAAATTCTACAGAAATTTAAGATTTGGTTTAAATCACAATTTAATTTTTCAAAGCAGGTTAATAAATAATTATCAATTAAACATTACTGTTTGGAGGATGATTTATTATCTTAAACGTACCTACTATATTCAATAATTTAAAAATAAATTCCAGTATTTATGATGACAACACCTAGAGATAACATTCGTGTTAAATACATTTTTGAAGATTCTTTTATTACGTTACATAATGAATGGACATTTTAAACAGCAATGCAGACACACATTATAACTTTGAGTCAGAGACAATATACGCATATTAAAATTCTGTATATTTCGATAAGGTAAAAAATAAAGCTATATAAACTGATCTTTAGATTTTTTTCTGCAAAAGTAGAATCACACTTTAATAACACTCTGACACATCTTCATTAAAGCTTTGTTTATAGACAATCAGAATGATTCTCAGCCCCATTCACCTGCCCTCTAACAAAAAAAAAAAAAAAAAAAAAAAAAAAAAAAAAAGACACAATCAGAATGATTCTCAGCCCCATTCACCTGCCCTAAAAAAAAAAAAAAAAAAAAAAAAAAAGGAAAAAAGAATGCATTTGCCAGCTGACATTTTTCCTGTTTTTAAAGTTACAAATGGGAAACTTCCCAAAGAAAGTGCAGAGCCAGCTGTTACACTGAGCTGTCAAATAAATACCATTAATTTTAGGATAAAGCAGAAGTGGCTGTATTACGTCATCAATAGTGCAAAACAGATGAGCTCGGTGGTTTTAAAGAAAAAGGCCGGAAACTTCCCTTGGGTTTTACCCTGAACTTTTGGTTGGTGCCCATGAGCTTAGGAACAGTTACACAGCGTGTGCAAGGCAGTTCTGTAGTCAAAGCTGCAAAAGCTCACCAGGCCAAGCCTGCTACTGCAGAAGGTGGCGTTCCTGGGCTCCTCCCGTGGCCCGGCACTGTCACCAGTGGGTCTCACGGGGCCACGGCCCCCCCGCCCCGGGGGAGAGGGGCGCGGGTCATTTGGTCTGCGTTCACCCCATGGAATCAAGGGCACAGGAATGGGCTGATTTGAGTTCTAACAGGAGTTGCCAAGAGAGGGTCTTTACTCCCAGCTCCGGACACAGGGACGCTGCAGCTGGGAGGGTCCGAAGGCTGCTGGCAGCCACCTGTCCTGAGGGTGGGGCTCAGAGGCGCCCGCAGGGTCCCCTTAGGACGTGGGATGTGTGTGCAACTGCGGCCTCGGGGGGCCGGGAGCTGAAAGCAGGAGCACGGAGGTGGCCGGAGCAACACGGCCTACAGACAGCTTGCTTTGGGGGATGGCGTGTGGGTCAGGAACCAGACATCTGGACCAACGGGGGAAATGTTAATAAGTGATTAACGTGCAGCTGTAAGATTTGCAAAACTAAGGAAAATACTTAAATTACTTGCTTTAAGGTTAGTGTAAGGCAAGTAAGTACTGCCCACTGTCAGGTGGGAATCTCATTTTGTCTGAAATGTCACTTCGGTGGGTTCTTCTGTCCCTCCTTTGACTTTACTTTTGATCTCATGCCCCTCGCCTATTTCAAATCATCAGGCACAGTCATTTAATAATTTCCCAAACAATTTAAAAAAGACTTTTTGGAGCATGTAAAGGTCAGTAACTCTCATAAGGAGACTTGACTTATCCCAGGTAAATGGTAACCATCTCAATAGAGGCAAAAAGAGGACACAGAACCGTCAAGAAGCTTCTATCTTAAGGCTGAAGGATAGAAATTAAAAACCAGATAAAAAGCAGATGAAATGGCAATGAACTGTGAAGAGAGAGCAGAGCAAATTATCATACTCTAAATATGCCTTTTAGCTACTCACTACCGCCAAACACCAAAAATAAACGGGCGTAGAGAATAAAATCAAATCTGAAAATTCACATTCATCAGATATTGAGACATTCAGCCAAAATGTTCATCAGAATTCAAATATAAAGTGGCCAAAATGTCATCAACTTAAAAAATAAAAGCTTTAAAAACATACTTTAAAAATTAGATATGATTCATTAACAAATAAAACAGCTATGAAGATACTCCAGTGCAAAGGGAATTTTAAGATTTCTAAAAAAATACATTACAAACAATTTGTTAACTAAACGTACAGAGAATCTGTCCCCCACATGTATTACATTTATACCCATTTTAGGTTCTTAAAAACGACTGTAAAAATGCACACACCATTGTTTGCAGGGTCTAGTGTGGACCACACACTGGACGTGGAGTGTGAGTGACAGGGGGTGGGGTGGAGGCTGGAGGACCCTCAGACAGACACGCCCTCCCATCCCCGTCTCACTGGAGGCCCCACGTCCATCATCCTAGTCTTTGGTATGTTTATGCTTCACCCCGACTACCCGTGTTCGCTTGTTCTTGCTGTTAACTCATCCCCTCGTTTAAACAAATAGTTTATAGGTGAACATTATACAATCAAACTGAAATTTGAACTTCCTGAAACCCCTAACGTCGAGCATCTCGGAAGCAGACTCAGTGTTCACTCCCCAACCAACATCCCTAAATCCCACCCATGCATCCAGCGGGGGCAATGTTTAGCTTCTGGGTGACCCTTTCCTAAAAAGCCATTGGTTTTACCCTCTGAATCTCAAGCTGAAATGTCTTCTTTACGGACTATTAAGGCTATGTCGAATGGGTTATTTCCAGAAATAAGATACTGGTACAGGAAAGTCACAGGGAGTTTACAGCACAGCTGCCTTCTGACGGTTCACCCCCCAAGGAGACACGGATAGGACCCCCGGCAGAGCAGGGTTAGGTCAGAGCCAGCGCAGTGGCGGCGAGGGCAGCGATATTGCTTTTCAGGTCGCCCAGGCCACCTTGTCAGACCTGTGGGCCTGACACAGATCTGGGGGACAACACCGCCGGGAGACTGACCACTCTTAATGGGGGCCTAAGCACCACACCAGAGGCTGGCCTCCGGCACCCAGACCCCACCCTTCCCCTCAACCCCCAAAACGGGCATTTCGCAGCAAGGGCGCCCCGGTGAGCCGCATCTTCGGGAGCAGGAAGATGAATTGCCCGGAACCTGTGCCGGAAGCTTTACTGGATAGGTTCCCCTCTTCGCATAGGCAGCTGGGGGGAGGCAGGAGGCGGTGCCGAAGCACACAGGCCCCAGCCCCGCAGAGGAAGGGACGTGGGACCTGACACGTCCGCAGTCAGCCTTGCTACCGCAGGTCCCGGTGCCAGCAGCGGACGGACGGGAAGGGTGCCGGTCCTGAGGTGTCCCTGGGCTGGTTCCGAAAGCAGAGGTTTTGGGGCCCGGGAGGAGGGGCCAGACCCGACCCCGCCTGCAAGGCTCAGCTGCACTTCCCAGGAGGTCGAGGTGCGGCCTCACCCGGGGGTGGGCCGCGATCCCCCCAGATCCTGCTCCCACGGGGTGCACCGAGGCCTCGCGTGCGTCCTGCCTGGTCGCCGCCCGGAGACACCTGTCCTGCCCCCTTCACCATGCAGCTCTTAGCGGCTGGACCCGTGATCCGTGCATCCGGTCTCCCCTTGGGCCACGGGAGCGGGGCCTGTAGCCGGGTGGGGACGCAGGGAGTGGGAGAGGCTGAGCTGGAAGGGGCCTGGTGCCCCCACGCCCTCCCAGGGCGCTGCCCAGGGCTGGGGTCTACAGAGAGGCAAGGGGGTGACTCCCGAGAGGTGGTCCTGACACCAAGCACGCGGTCTGTCGGGAACAGAAAGGACAGAGTCAGTACCGGGACCCCCGCGAGAATCCCATCGAGCACCCGTCGTCTGACCCGACGCCCCGACGTGGCTGCCGCCCTCGCTGCCCCGGCCTGGGCTCCCCTGAACACAGCTGGACCAGACACGGAGGAGGCATGTGGACCGTCCCGGCTGTGATCGTGTCCCTTTCTCGGGCCCACCGTCCCGCAGAAGACACGTGTGAAAACACGAAGCCCCTCCCTGGGCCCGGACTGGCTGCGGTTTCTCTAATGGGGATGCTGACCTCGCCCTACCCAGCGCCCCCAGAGGCATTTCCCCTACCCGGCCCCTACGTGTGTTCGGATCGAACGGGCAGGGAGGGGAGGGGCAGCCGGGCGGGAGACGCCTGCTCTGGACACTGAAGGCTCTGCTGGACACCTGCCCCGGCCAAGGCTCGGGCCGCTCACTCCAGATCCCCTTTTTTACTTCGAAAGGTGGTCTTTCCTGATGGACCTTTCAGGTGAAGCCATTCCCACCACCACGGACGAGAATGAATGAACTGCGCTCTGGACGCTGAACACCGGACACGTGTGGGGCGATGTCCGCCCGGCGTGTGCGCTGCACAGGTGTGCAGGCGTCTGCGTGCATGTGCACGGCACGCAGCCCACGCGGCCGGCCTCTTGGGCGGGCCACTTACCTGGGATGGAACCCACGTGTGTAAAAGCCTTTCTTTGTGACCACGAACCTAACAGACACGGCACAGCACGCAAAACTCTGGAGGAAAACCGCGCAGTCAGCAAGAGCACAGCACACCGGGCTGCCCGCGGGCGGCCGTTACCTATCCACCAGCTACTCGCGCCTCGGCCGTGGCTCGGGGTCCATCAGGAGAGGCCGGTCAGGGCTTGGCGCGGCGTCGGCCGGGGCTCGGCGGCTCGAGCTCCTCTGCAAGGCGAGGACAGACACTGAGCCCGCGGAGGGGAGGCCGGGCCACCGGGGAGGCTGCTGCCCAGAGTGGGGCGTTGGCTAACGGCCTTGCCCGCTCCCCGAGACCACCCCGGCACGGCTGGGCTCCCCAAGCGGGCACCCGGCCCCAAGGGAGGAGCTCTGTGCCTGTCCCTCTAGCCCGCTCTGCGTGCCTGCCTGTCCCTCTGTCCCTCTCTGTGTGCCTGTCCCTCTGTCCCGCTCTGTCCACCTGCCTGTCACCCTCTGTGTGCCTGCCCGACCCTGTCCCTCGGCCCCGTCTCTGGTCAAACAGAGGAGTCCTGGCCTGAGACCAGAATCTGGGAGGTCCAAGGAGTCGCAGGGCCACAGGTCAGCGGGGCCAGGCATCTGAACACTGAGATTTTCTAGTCAAACTGTATGAGTTTCTCAGTAACAAGGAAGAAGAGAACTGTAGGAGTTGGAGAATCACAAGCTTGAGCTGCACGATGTTCTCTGGCGAGGACGGGGTGAAGCAGGCAAGCGCTGGGGTGGCTGCTCTTTGCAGGGGCGGAAACACACACGACTGTACGTACAAATGGATGCAGAAACCAGAAATGCACACGTATATATAAATGACCTATGTGTGTACACACGTGGTGTCTGCCACGTTTTTCGCTTTAATAGGACAGGTGAAAAGAAAAAGCCATCCATCTCAAACGCAGTACGTCCCACAAAAGGGCTAGTCAAGTGTTTGTTCCTCCTAAGTTTTGCAGACATTGGACGGTTCTCCAGCAACAACACATTGACCCCGTGTGTGCCCAGAGTGCAGGCTCCAGGCACCCTGGGGTCACGGCCGCGGCTACGGACACAGAGCTCAGGGCCCTTCTCCAAGCGGCCAGAGTCTGGCTTCTGCAAATCAACTCTAAATGAACCCCATTAATAGTCAGAGGCATTTGGTTTTAGCCTCGAGTTGGCATGATTTAACCAATCTCATATGGCACCTCCTGTGACTTATTAAAATGTTCCTAATAATTTCATCCTGAATGTTTTCAAGTGTGTGAACAGCAAGATGAAATGATGTAACTTATCCTAACAAATTCTGATGGCATCAGATTAAAAAAATTTCGATCGCCAATAATTACTTGAACTTAAAAAATGTACCATCCTGGTGGTTAAAAAACAGTGCTAAAGCTGTATGGCGTATGAACAGTTATTAAAAGAAGAAAAAGGCTTTTTTTTTTTTTTTTTTTTGCTTTAGGCATTTTTCCCATTAAGCAAGCTGCCTTAGTAAAGCAGTAACACCAAACACAGGTCTTCAAAGTGTGCCTGATTCGGAGCACACAGAAACGAGGCATCAGGTACACAAACAACTGAAAACAGATACGCCGTGTCCCTGAAGCCTTGGCTCTGGACGAAACGCCTTCGATCCTGGGCAGCGGCCACAGAAAACTGTGTGAATGGCTCTATGTGCCAGAGAGAGAGGCGCTACGGCCCTTTAAGGCAAGGTCAGCACCTTTTTCTAAAAATGATCAGACTTTTTAAAAAAGTTAAGAGGGACTTTGGTAAAAAAGTTGACCCCAAACACGTCTGTCCTGGCTTTGTCTGCAGCCCGGTGGCATGGCCTGAGTCTGGCCTCTCCGGAGGCCCTCAGTCCCACCTGCAGAGCGGGCTCTGACGCTCCCCAGGGACACGTGCAGGCACCGGTCAGTGGCGCGGACGGCAGGAGCCCGGCACCCTGCATCCCTGACGCCAGCGGCCCAGTGCTGCCTGGGGCGGGCCTGCGAGTGCGGCTCCGAGCTTAACCGTCAACCCTGTGCGGTCCTGCGACTGAGTCCCAAGCATGCAAAAAGACAGAAAAGCGTCACCTTGTTCCGTTAGAAAGTCAGACTGCTGGAAGTCTGAGAAAGCATAAAGACGGTGGGCTGCTCGACAGAAAGGCACTGGTTCCTAGTCTGCCGGTCCCAGAGGTCAGAGGTCAGAGGTCAGGAGGCCATGCACATCGTTAAACAAGGTGGTTATTTGGGCAAAGAGGCCGGAAGACGAAAGGAACGAAGAAGGGAAGAGACAAGAAAAGGCGGTGAGTCCGGTGAGACACGCGGCAGCCTCCGGACGTCCCTGCTGCCACTGGAAACCAGGCCACACCGGCCCCCGCGGCCTGGCCCGGCCCGGCCCAGCCCAGCCCAGGAGGGCGGGATCCCTCCCCTCGCACTCCCGCCTGTGTCCTGCCCGGGAACGGCCCTGGATGACTGTGCAACTCGTAATGAAGTTGTCAGACGTGGACCTGCACTAACCCCTCCTGCGTTCGTCTGGGCACCGACTTTGCAAACCCAGCAGAATCCCCAGGGCTGGGGCACTGCGCTCAGCATTTTAAACCAGCACCAGGAACCTGAAGGCTTTGCCCATCCGACCCGTCACCTGCTGGGAGGGGAGTGGGGGCAAGTGCCCTGACTGCAGCTCCAGCCCCTGGAGGTCCACTGCTTTCCACCCCAAAGCCGGCCAACAGCACTTGGGGACTGACACCACGGGGCCCCTGAGCTTCCCAGTGACTCAGCCCCAGGACGTGCCACTCGCCCTCTCCTGTTGTCACCCTCCCTCCTGTCCCTCCCCACCTGCATGCCCCACCCCCTTCACCTGCACAAGCACCTTGCTACAGGTGAGACAAGCATCCTGCCACAACGGGCCCTGCTGTGGCCTCTGCCCTCTCACTAGCATCCTTCCCCCTCCTCCTGAGGCCTACACCTCCAAGGGCAAGTTACAGGGGTGAGAGGGTAGCGGGGGGTCACAGGGGTAAGGGGACGGGGGACAACCCCTGCCCAGGAACCCTGGGGAGGGCCAGAGTACTCTTGGGAAGCTCTGAGTACCATCTGTGTCTGATGCCGGTCCGGGCATCCTTCGTATCTCTCATCTTTCCTGAATCCAGAATTCACCTTGTTGGCTTCCATTTGGGAGGGTGGAAAACAACAGCCCTAACTACTCATAACCAGAATTTTCCAAAATAAATGCTAAAGTTTGAGCCAAATTCACCATCCCTCAAAATAATGCAATTTTACCTTCAAGGTAATGATTAGTTGAAAAAACTTAAAAATGTACAAAAACCAATTTGCCTTTTGTATTGGCTTCATCTTTTTCTCTTAATCTTTTTCTTAGTTCAGGGACTAGCCGCTCAAGTCTAACCACTGGTCATCTAGGTTCAGGTGTAAAACCACGTGTCATCATGGAATTCGTTAGTAACGGTGGACTGACCGCATTTCCAAACCCAAACCTTTCCCGCTCCCCTTTCTAAGGGCTGCCCCCACAGCGCCCGGGGCGGTACCTGGACTCTCTCGGTGGCGCTGGGCCACAGCTGCCTGCACAGCACTTTCTTGAGGACGTCGGGAAGGAGGCTGACGGCGACGAGCAGGACGATGGCCAGCCAGGCGGGGCCGCTGGACAGCATTTGTATGAACACATAGTACATCCTTTGATAACTGAGGAACGGCCTGCAGCGTCGAGGGAAAGGAGAAACATAACACGATGGCAGGAGAAACACCGAAATCCTGGTCTGTTTTCTCTACTTGCACGAAGAGCCCATTCGTTCTGGCAGTTTTCACTTTTGTCACGACAGTCACTGGACAAGCCACCTAGCCTGCCCGCTGGGACTAATCACAGAAACACTGGGGTGTGACCTTTCCCTGTAACGCTGCGTGTTAACCCACGGGAAAAGGAGAGGAATTCTATGAAGTCATCCCAAAGGGGAAAACAAGTCCCCGAAGTTCAGTTTCAGAACAGCGGCAAAGATTTTAAAAGCTGAAGTAGGTAGTATTTTTTTGTACCTTAGAATCATATCTGCACAATAGCTATTAATACGGAGAAGATATGCAAGCACGCATATCTTCACGCATTCATATCTGCACGCGTCAGCAGAACGATTAAATACTTAAAAATTTATGCCGTAGGGGCTTCCCTGGTGGCGCAGTGGTTGAGAGTCCGCCTGCCGATGCAGGGGACGTGGGTTCGTGCCCCGGTCCGGGAAGATCCCACATGCCCCGGAGCCGCTGGGCCCGTGAGCCATGGCCGCTGGGCCTGCGCATCCGGAGCCTGTGCTCCGCAAGGGGAGAGACCAAAACAGTGAGAGGCCCGCGTGCCGCAAAAAAAAAAAAAAAGAAAAAAAAAAATTATGCCATAATATATTTTTAAAATTTCTATAAAAATACAGAGAATGAAATGACTCTCCTGCCAGGTGAATCACAAAAGCCTCTGGAAAGGGGCAGTGATGATGCTAAACTTGAGTCACACAGCTTCTCGGCTCTGACGCCCCAAAGCCCAGGAGCTGGCCTGGGAGTTTTCGGGGGAGCCTCCCATTTACACAGCCGCTCTGGAGAGCTCGCTAGAACCGCAGGGATCTCTGGCCTGGGGCAGGGTTGCTGGAAACCTACCAAAAGGTGGTCTGGTCTTCCTGGTCTCCAAGAATGTGCAAAGTATGGATCTGGCCACTTGGGGGTCAGCAACAGAGCGGGTCATTGGGTGGATGTCAGCTCAGCAACCTCCACGTGGGGACCTGATGGACCGGGGAGGCCTCTCCCCCATTTCAGGGGCCGCCTGCCCCTCACGGGAGCCGAGGTCAGCACTGGGGACGCCAGGTGGAGGGGACACCGCTTCTGGCCTCCCGTTCGGCCAGGCTGTGGTCCCGAGCCTCACTCGCCCCCCC